ATAAAGAACAGGTTGGAATTCTACTTGGAGAAAAACCAATTGCTCCCAAGCTCGCAATATGGATTTCGAAAAGGACGGTCTACTCAAGACTTACTGATAAAGATAACAACTGATATCCAAATTGGATTTTCGAATAACACGCATACTTCTGTAATATTTTTAGACGTTATGGGAGCTTATGATAATGTAGACTTGAATATACTATACAGTAAAATTATAAATATTGGTCTTCCAAAAGAACTTGCCAACCATTTGTTATTACTGTATAGCAATAGAAACATTTTCATCAGAGCCTCTGAGCAGACTATTGGACCACGATCAACATCTAAAGGACTAGCACAAGGGAGTATATTGAGTCCCATCTTGTATATAATATATTCCTATGACTTTGAAAGAGCTTTTAATTCAAGAGATGCTAAAATATATCAGTTTGCAGATGACTATGCCATTAGTATCCAGAACAAAAATTTATCTCAATCTATGGAACTTCTAGAAACAGCGACTTCCATTGCACACGAATGGTTTGAGAATAATGGATCTTCCATTGCCTACTCAAAATCTTGTGTATGTACGTTTACCAGATCTCGTCTTAGTCCTTCAAATATCATCACTCTGGCTGGGCAGAATATATCTTATAAAACTTCTGTCAAATATCTAGGAGTTATCCTAGATAAAAAACTTAACTGGAAAGAACATATTACATACATATTAAAGAGAAGTCAGAATGCTTTTAACATTCTGAAGTCCTTTTCACATCGGAAATGGGGAGCAGATCCAGCAGTGTGCTTAACCTTTTACAGGACCTTAGTTCGATCAATCTTGGACTACGGATCAATACTTTATGGAAATGCATCTAAAATTCATCTTCAAAAAATAGAACAGATCAAAAATAAGTGCCTTAGGCTATGTATCGGATATTTGAATAGCACTCCCATCAATGTCATGGAGGTCGAATGTATAGAACCTCCTCTTCAATTGAGACGACAAATGTTGAGCGATAAAGCCCTGGTTAAACTGGTCAGCAGGGGATTCATTAACGAGATCCACCAATTGTTTATTCATGGATTAACAGCGAAATACTGGCAACACAAAAGGCTTCCTCTGATCATAGAGAGTTATGAGTGGCTTCTTCCTACCGTCAAGAAGGTACACTCTAATCAAATCAATCCATGTTTCATACCTGAATATTCGGCATATAACTCTCCACCCGAAGTAATCTCTACGAAATATTCCGAACTAGATTTATCAACACCTTATAAATTCCGGCATGATATTCGAACACGATGGAGTGGATGGGAATATATCTTCACGGATGGTTCGAAGAAAGACAATTTAGCGGGATGTTCATTTTATCACAGCAACAATTCGTATCACCAAGAATTCAAATTGCCACCTGAATGTTCGGTATACACAGCAGATCTGGTTGCGATCAACCAAGCTATTGAATACTGTTTCCAATTCCATGGAAATAAGAATTTTGTTATTTTTACCGACTGTAGAAGTGCTGTAACAAAATTGGAGAATTGTCACCCCACTGCAGATCTTAATCATCTAATTGCGAACATCATCAAGCGCATTCAGGAGCTGAATAGAATCGACAAAACTATAAACATAGTCTGGATCAAAGGCCACTCATGTATAAAAGAAAACGAGATGGTAGATAATTTTGCAAAAAGAGCTACAACTAGAGGCGATTACGTTCCGGGCATGGAGATTCCTTTTACTGACGCTCATTTTCTGATCAGACAACGACTAAAGAATAAATGGAATAACCATTACAAAATCAGTCCAACAGAAAGTTACCTGAAACGTATACAAGAGACTCTTCGAAGCAGACCTTGGTTTCAAGGAATTACCAATCGTCCTTACATTAGAACCGTGAGCAGAATAAGAAGTGGTCATGCCCTAACGCCCCATCATAAATCAAGAATTGGATACGGAGATGATCCACTTTGCAGTTGTGGAAATATAGGAACCTTGCAACACTTAATATTAGAATGTACAAGTTCTAACAACGAAAATTCTGAATTGTATAAAATTTTAGCGAATCACCTTCCTTTGCCTCTAAATTTAGAATCAATTCTCAGTTCTGAGAACCAGCAAGTTTACGAACTTTTATACAAGCATTGTCGGAAAGTAGGCCTAACATTATAAAATGTAAATTACAGTAAGTTTGTTTGAAAAAATGAAAAAAAGAAGAAAATATTGAAAAAAAAGCAGATCAGTAAAAAAAAAGCAGATCAGTAAAAAAAAGCAGATCAGAAAAAAAAACAAACAAAAAAAGAACAATCTTATAAACAAAATAGAGAAAAGGAAAAAATAAGTAAAAAGTATTGGTTGAAAAAAAAAAAGAAATATGTGTCTGCATACTACAAAGTATAATAGAAATAATATATAATAGTAATATTTATTAAGTAATGGATGTTCTATTTTCTATTAAAGCATAGCATTATACTGAACATAAGGATCTGGCCAGTTGGTCATCGACCAGTGCCAATAACAGAACAAAAAAAAAAAAAAAATAAAGAACTACATCAAACAGCAGGCGACCTGCGCGTTATAGTCAAGCGGAATCGCATACCAACCCTTTGTTGCGTGAGTCAGTAGAGTACACAGTCGAACAAGTTGGCAAGCCACAACGCCTCGGCTCCTACTGTGAAAAAGAATTAAATCGTGCGAAGTCCAAGACTAGGTATTAAGTGTCGGTCCGAATGACTGACATGGCACCATTGAAATAGTTCAGTGTCAATCCCCACATATTAGCAACCACTGATTGATACGGCGGTCATTGTGTTTACATATGGATTACTTTTCTTAAATGGTAGATTTCAGGAAGACAGTGCAACCAGGCACAACAGACTTGCGAAGCATGTTTGCCATAGCCACTCGTTCAGATCATAATGTGAAGTTAAAACACCGTGATCCCAATATAACATCTGAAATTTATTCTGTGGTTTTCATATCGATAATTCCCCATGTTTGTTTGGTTAATGAAATCACATATATTTGAAACTCTTTTTTATTGTCACAACGATGGCCTCCTTCAGCACACGTCACTTTTGTCAGATAGATAAAATATTTTCAAAACTCGAACTATAGATGTTCTGGAAACTCAAAATTCCGGGACCGGTTTCAGATTTTTGGTTCACTTGAACTTTATCAAGTGATCGCTCTGTAAGTTATACTTTGAGTTTATTATCATTTCGCACAACATTGTGCAATACATCATATAAATAAGCGCAAGAATTAATGTTATGCACCCCATTTAGCTTCTTCAGTAATTTTTTAATAATATAAATTCTACTAACTGATGTTATACAACAAGAATCGTGCTTTAAAGAGAAACGGCATTCAATATACAAATGCACTGAATTTTACCCTTCAGACCAATTCAAATTATGATAAAAATGTAAAAAACCTAATATATAGGCCCGAGCACGGTATTTTCATAGTCACGTTTACGAGGTCTCACCACAACCCTATATTAGATTTATTTACATAATGCACATATGGTACATCACACAATTAAATATCATGCCCGGGCTTGAATACTACCTTTTTTGGATTTTTAGCTTAATTTCAAGTTGGTCTGGACGGTGGAATTTAGTCGAATTGCATATTAAATGCCGCTTCCCTTTTTAACAAGAGCTCGTGTACAGTATCAGTTGGTTGACATAAATCATAAAAAAACTTACCGAAAAATTAAATAGGGAACATAGTACTAATTTTACCTTTTATTTATATCCTGTTTTGGTATTTTTTTTGTTTGAGTTTCCGAAACATCTTTAGTTCGGTTTAAAGCATTGTTTTGCAAAATTTTGATGAAATAAAGTTGATAAACCTTGAAATTTTGGCTTTTGGCTTAAAAAGGCGCAATCGATCTATACTATGTGACATATAAATCCGAACACCCAGTTTAAATGGTTTTATTTTAATAAAATTTTGTATAAGTACTTAATGAAGCATAATAAGTAAATGATAAAAATTTCAAAATGATTGCACTGCTTTAAAGCCCTTTGACCTTTAATAATGTGTGGATGCACCGTGATGTGTTACGCATTCTCCAACGCGCCTAGGCATGCTTCTGATCAGGTGGTCAATGTCCTCCTGTGGTATCTCATTCCAGGCAACCACCAACTCTTCTCGAAGTGCTTCTAGAGTCTGAGGAGGACGTTGCAAATTGAGCAATCTCCTACCCATCATATCCCACACGTGCTCAATTGGGGATAAGTCGGGAGATCTTGGTGGCCATGGTAACAATGTGACATCATTATGTTGAAAGAAGTCTATTGTGACTCTTGCAACATGTGGTCGGGCATTATCTTGTTGGAAAGTTGGATCTGCCAGGGTGGCAAGATAGGGTAAAAGATGGGGTTCTAGAACTTCGTGGATATAACGCTGCGCGTTCATGTTACCTCTGATGAAGATTAAAGGTGACCTGGAACCATAAGCTATAGCATCCCAAACCATAACTCCAACAGTGTGATGAACATGTCTTTCAAAAAAACTGTGGATTCCTCCTTTCACCACGTCGCCTTTTAACCCTGGCATCGTGCATGCCTAAACAAAATCGAGACTCGTCACTAAAGACAATACTGTTCCATTCCTGATCCCAGAGCGACCGTTGTCTGCATCACTCAAGGCGATTACGTCGGTGTTCTCGAGTTAAATGGAGGACCCAGTGTGGCCGGTATGAAAACAAGCCAAAACTTCTCATTCCTCGGTAAATACTTCGCATGCCAATAGGTCTTCCGTGTTCTGCAAACCATTCATTTGCAATGGACCTGCTAGTGGAGAAACGGTCCCTTAAGGTCAATAATCACGGTCTGTTGTTCTACGGCGGCGTCCAGTGCCCCTTGCTCTTTGCGTACGGCCTTCTCGAAGCCATGCCTGACAACACCTAACCACAGTGTCTACACTTCCTTGCACTCTAACTGCAATTGCCCGAAAAGAAAGTCCACCTTCCTGAAGCCCCACTATACGGCTCCTATCAAACACTAAGTTGACGAAATTGTACAGGTCTCCGTACTCTAGGCATCGTAACCGATCGTAAAGGATGTCAAGAACCAAAATCCGCCAACGTTGATTCTTTACTGCGGCTGAAATATTCATTTTTAGAGCGTTAGTGAATTAAAAAAAAAGCAGTATAAAAACCGGAATGTCCAACTGATAAAGCTGAAAATTTTTTCACTTGTTATTTACAGTAAGATAAATACATTCACCAACTTTTATTAAAATAAAACCATTTAAACTGGGTGTTCGGATTTATATGTCACTTAGTATATTTGACTAATTGGTTAGCAATCTTCATTGCTTTTTTTTCTCTTCTACGTAAAATGTGTTGATTTTGATAGAAAACAAGAAAGTTGAAAAACCTAGCCCGGCCCTGGATTTTTCAACCATGCAACGGATTTTTCGTTACTCCTGGGTAATTCTGTTATCGTTCAAAATTTCAAATGGTACCCAAGATGTGTGATATTAAAGATTTGGCGTATTTAGGTAAATCCGAACTAAACTGAATCTGGAACTTTTTTACTTTCTGATATGAAAACGTCTTGGTCCATACTACCTAACATTTCACCATGTCCATTTAAGTACGACACACTTTGTATAGAGATGTTACGAGCAAAGACGATAATCGGGCGCTAACATTATTGGTCGGACAATGACGTGATGCCCGTTCTTCTTGGATAATTTCACGTCTAGGCGTTCACGGTAATCCCACTGCGGAACAACAAGTTTGTTAATATTCTCATTTTAATGGAGTTGTCCGATCATTGCTAAGGATAACCAAGAAGGGCTAAGGATATTGATATGGTACAAATCTTGAGATAATCGCAGCTTCGAAAAAAAAACTAAAAACAGCCAGGACGAAACAAACATTAAAACCTGAAAAGGGTTGAATTGGCGTCGAATACTTTACTCCTGTAATCTCAGTAAAGCCGCGTACAGACCGAAAATCCAACGCCGAGCAAATGAATGCAAGCACATGTGACCTTGACGTTTGTTGTTGGAAGGTATTGGAAAGCACTCGTCTACCCCTAAATTTAGTTTGGAGTTGGACCGCGTTGGGTTATCTTCGGTGCTAATGTCGAGCGACGAGTCTCCTCTCATCGAATGCAGACAAACGACTAAATACTAGTAGCGCAACAAATCCTGTCCAGACTAAATCAAACCTCCCTTTGGTGTACCGATCAAGGAGCAAACGCAATCGAACGGCAACGCCAACCTTGGAAACCGTTGGCTTATGTTGGCTCGCGTCGTACACACCAATTCGAACACCTCCAAATCTGTAACCACATGTCCCTTGGCTTGCGTTATAATTTTGGTCTGTACGCGACTTGAGATTGTTGCTCTTTTAGATGTCATACTTCCCAGAGTCGGGAGACCAATCCTAGTATATGATGATGAGTCAAGCAGAACGGAACAGCTGTCCATGGTTGGCTGTCTTTTGGTCAGACGGACGAAATCATCTTGTTTAGTTTTTTCAGTGGCCAGTAGACTACATTTACGATATAGGAAGAATTGTCAGCTATCTAGGCTATTAAACGCGAACTGAGAATCTTTTCTGTTCAAATAAGTAGCTGCTATGCACTCTCCACAGTGGTCGACATTTGTGATAGATGGCGCTTAGCACTGTCTTATTTAGATACTTTCCAGTGTTTAAAAGCGATTTGGGAATTAACGTCATCGGCCGGTCATCAAAGAGAATGCCTGGCCCGCTTTACGCCTTTGCCCTTAATAAGTTCGAGTATACAGGGTGACTTCGAAGTTGAGTCATTTATTTTAACAGTGAGTAGATCTGATCAAAAGAAATGTTTTTTTCCTTTACCATTTTTCTGGTAAAATTAAAGTAACAAAGTTATAGCCCTTTGGAAGTTTGAGTACCGCCCTGCCTATTATATGCTCGTGTTTGGCGACAACGGATATAATCCGCCTGACCGGTTCATCGCATCGGAAACAAAAAAGCGAAAGAATTTGAAACGTTTATCACGATGTTTTTCGTCAGTCGATAAATCCTGAGTGAATAGTAGTGTGTTGCGTGGCTCAAACGAAATCAAAAATGGCACATGTTTACGAAAATGCTGAACTTGTGGACATGATTCTTATTTACGGGGGGGCAGTCTTTACAAAATGCTCCCGGATGCATCACGGATTTACGCGAATCGGTTTCCCAATCGAGTGCAACCAACCCCTCGTGCCTTTGTCAATGTAGTGCAAAGGGCTCGTGAATCAGGTGACTTAAGACCTCACAGGTGAGGGCATGCTGCTCCAAGACCGCACGATCAAATACAGGTCCGCACTGAAATACTTGTCGGGAGGATACTTTATTAAACAAGGTAACATTTTTTTTTTATTTTTTTTTATTTTTACACACATATTTTGGTTTATCTTCCTTCTACAATCATTATCTGAAAATTAATGACTCAACTTCAAAGTCACCCTGTATGTATATAAGAGCCCAAACCTTTCCTCCTGGATACGACCGTGGAAATCCAAACGAGGTGTTCGTGCTACAGCAATATGGAATATTATTGGTCCAATGAAACACAATATATGTGTAATTGGTGAGTTGGTGGCTGTTGGAATACTGTCAGTTAATCGACCCGGCGATTAGTTGATTGGCGGCAGCGACGCTATTGGAAATTGAAATAGACAATCAATTTGCGGATCAAGTGGATTCTATTGGTTTCCGATAGTCGGCGGTAGTATTTTTGCAAACCGTCATTTGCGGCTTATTGTGTGAAAAGCACACTGACTGGAAAAATGATCAATGTTTGTTTTTATTTCTCAGGCCAATTGGCGAGGAAGTATTATAATCGCAAACACATTCGAAAATAATACAGTGTAGTATCATAGCTTTGGTTTGCCCGACTACAGATGGCTGACTATGGATAGCTTTTTCGGGCTCTCTGACAACTCATCAGCGTTGTCTATTCTTGGTCTCAAGTAGGCCAACGAATTAAAGCTGAGCAACTATATTCTATCCGAATAAAACACGAAGTTTGTTTAATGTCGAGTCCTTATCTACTATAGCACCAGAAATCGGTGGCATCTAACGGCCACAGTGGTGACTCGGCTGTCAAATGCGAACTGAAGTACAGTTCCAATAGTCAGGTTACCGTTTTCACCATAGCAGTAACCGATTCTGATAATATATGGAACTGTGTGCTATCTTATTTGAAGATACTATGTTTTTTGCACGTTACATGACATGCACATTGCACATCTCGAGAAACCATTTCCGTCAGTCATTCTGTATGTCTGTCTACTAGTCACTGGTCGCACTAAAACTTAAAAAATACTGCTTGGATTTTGATAAAATTTTGAAACAAAATTTCTACTATGCCAAGGGACGTGACGAGCGAACATCATTTTTGGTCGATTCCGAGCTTGAATATTTAATTAGTGCCGAAACTTAGCCGTTGTGTAAGTAGTTTTAGGTATATCAAGTCTGAGCAGGAGCCCCGCAACATATATGAGTGTCTCCCAAGGGGGCTTGCCCCCTGGAAAGAAAAGGAAGGAATCGAAGGATTCAATGGATGCAATTATTGAAGATAATTCCCAGGTCGGTAATGATAATACTAAGATCTACAATCAGGAGTAATGCAGGTAGAACTTCCAACATTATCTCCCAAAAAAGCAGATCAACCGCTTTTAACATATGAGCAGACTGATAAGGGGCCCCTATCATGTTTATATCGAAAACAATGAACCAAATTTCTCAGGTAAATTAAATCCAGTTAAGGTTGGTGAAACTATTCTCAAGTTGACAATATGATTAAACGAATTGAATCGATTGGACGCAATAGGGTAAGGATTGCGTTCAAAATTCCATCAGCAGCAAATGTCCTGTTAAATAAAACGATTTTATTCAAAGCTATCAATTTAGACGTTTATATACCCAAATTCATTTTATATAGACAGGGTGTTATTTCGGTGGATAAAGACTTATCAGACGAATACTTGTTGGAGAGGATCAAACCTTTCGATTCTCACTGCATTTTCTCGCTGGATTCGGTTAAACGCATGCACCGGAAATCAGATCAAAATGGTGACATTAAATATCTGCCTGTAAATAAGGTTGTAGTGTTACTTTTCAAGCGCAAGAATTGCCTAAGCGTGTTGCTATAAATCACGTTCTTTTTGATGTAAATCATTATATACAGAAGGTAATTCTGTGTCATAACTGTATGCGTTATGGTCATTTGGGTAAGCAATGTAGAAGCAAGCCTAGGTGTGCAAAATGTCACGAAGAACATGTTACTAGCTCATGCCACAACGACTCTTTGGAACAAAAATGTTTAATTTGCGATGGCAGTCACTACTCATTTGAAACCTCAAAATGTAATGAATTTGAGAGGCAAAAGGTAATTAAAAAGCATATGGCAATGACTAATTCTTCTTTTAGAGACTCAAACAATGCGGTGCCAAAAACCACATATGCTTCAGTTACAAAAAATAATCCCATTACGCCTCAAGAAATCAATAGTTCTAATCTTCCATCTCAATCATCAAACACTCAAACATCAATAAATATTCCAAATGCGAATTCGCACTTTACACAAAGGTTGTTTGAAACGGAACTCGCCTTCCTCGTCAGATTTGACAGAAGAAGCTAGGAGACAAATTATAAGTCAAATAAACACTCCACAGGTACCCTGGGGTATCACTAATAACCCCAGTTACTGTGTACATGAATTTAATACGAGAGATGAGACGTTCATCCAACATGTTTCAGAATTGGTTATATTTGTTCTTACAAATTTTAGAGAAACAAACATCAACAGCTTGAATAAATCAACTATAACTAATCTCATAAGAGAAAGATTAAATAAAGACAAATAAGTTTAAGAATTAAGAAAATTACAGTATATTTTTAATCATTTTACACTTTTACCAACGTGTTCGTACGTTATGAAAAACATAAAATAGAATCTATACAATGCATTTAGAAACTACAATGAATTTTTTGAGGATATGTCAATGGAATTGTAGATCGGCTATAGCAAATAAAGGTAATTTGGAACACCTTTTAGAAGAACAAAATGTGGACATCGCACTTTTGTCTGAAACCTGGTTTAAAATGAATACATATGTAAAATTTAAAGGTTATAACGTTGTCCGTCAAGACCGGACTGATGAGAAATAGTTTAAAATATTCTCAAATATCATTAGTTGCTTGTAATAAAATAATGAAAGTATGTTCTACAGTAAAGTTTCAAGGAATCTCAGATATTACATTCGTATCAGTATATATTAAACCACAAACCAAAATCACTAAACAGGAATGGATACAATTTTTTAGTTCCTTACACAGTCCATGTATTATAGGAGGTGATTTTAATGCACATCACACTTCATGGGGTTGTGCTCAGGAGGATGTATTTGGGAAAATCCTGATTGAAGCTCTAGATGACAGTAAGCTCAGTTTTATTAACAATGGAGATCCAACTTATGTAAAATATCAACCAAAATCAGCAATAGATCTTACATTATGTTCACCTCAAATTCATCATCAGCTAGAATGGCGAACCTTGCCAGACCCATGTGGTTCAGATCATTTGCCTATACTTATCAATTGTAATTTTACTCCAGAAAAATTGTCATTTGCATCAAATAGAAAATGGAACATAAACAAAGCTTGCTGGAATCAGTTCTGTTTCGAGAGTATAAATAGATCTTATGTAGAACCAGCACTTTCATCAAAAATGTTAACCAGTCAGCTGAAGCTTCTATTCCGAAATATGAAAACAAAAATAATGTCAAAGGAAAACCATGGTGGACCAATGAATGTAATATAGCAGTAGAAAAACGTAAGGATAGTTTTAGACTATATCAGACAAACCCAAACCTCGAAAACTTACTTAATTTTAAAATACTTGACGCGAATGCCAAACAAATATTCAAAAAGGTTAAAAGAGAAAGTTGGCGTCAATATTGTTCATCTTTAAATAGTAACACCCCACTTAAACAAATTTGGAAGCAAGTTAACTTGTATAAAAATAGGCGACAGAGTAATTATCATGTTATAGAAGCTTCAGCAGAGTGGGTACAGGAATTTCATTGTAAGCTGGCCCCAAATTATGTAAGCAACAACATCCAAAGAAGAATCTCAACGTGGACTAACCATGAACTGATGCAACCTTTTACCTTGATAGAATTACAGAGAGTCTTCAAACAGAACAACAATACATCTCCGGGAAAGGACCAAATTCATTATTCGATGTTATACCAACTACCTACAACAACGAAACAATCGTTATTGGATATTTTCAATCAAATATATTGTGGGAATGCTGAAATACCGAAAGATTGGTACGATTATATAATTATTCCAATTCTGAAACCTGGAAAACCAGAACATCATCAAGATTCATATCGTCCCATTGCACTAGCTTCATGCGTTTTGAAAACTTACGGAAGACTCATAAAGAATAGGTTGGAATTCTACTTGGAGAAAAACCAATTGCCCCCAAGCTCGCAATATCGATTTCGAAAAGGACGGTCTACTCAAGACTTACTGATACAGTTAACAACTGATATCCAAATTGGATTTTCGAATAACACGCATACTTCTGTAATATTTTTAGACGTAATGGGAGCTTATGATAATGTAGACTTGAATATACTATACAGTAAAATTATAAATATTGGTCTTCCAAAAGAACTTGCCAACCATTTGTTATTACCGTATAGCAATAGAAACATTTTCATCAGAGCCTCTGAGCAGACTATTGGACCACGATCAACATCTAAAGGACTAGCACAAGGGAGTATATTGAGTCCCATCTTGTATATAATATATTCCTATGACTTTGAAAGAGCTTTTAATTCAAGAGATGCTAAAATATATCAGTTTGCAGATGACTGTGCCATTAATATGCAGAACAAAAATTTATCTCAACCTATGGAACTTCTAGAAACAGCGACTTCCATTGCACACGAATGGTTTGAGAATAATGGATCTTCCATTGCCTACTCAAAATCTTGTGTATGTACGTTTACCAGATCTCGCCTTAGTCCTTCAAATATCATCACTCTGGATGGGCAGAATATATCTTATAAAACTTCTGTCAAATATCTAGGAGCTATCCTAGATAAAAAACTTAACTGGAAAGAACATATTACATACATTTTAAAGAGAAGTCAGAATGCTTTTAACATTCTGAAGTCCTTTCCACATCGGAAATGGGGAGCAGATCCAGCAGTGTGCTTAACCTTTTACAGGACCTTAGTTCGATCAATCTTGGACTACGGATCAATACTTTACGGAAATGCATCTAGAATTCATCTTCAAAAATAGAACAGATCAAAAATAAGTGCCTTAGGCTATGTATCGGATATTTGAATACCACTCCCATCAATGTCATGGAGGTCGAATGTATCGAACCTCCCCTTCAATTGAGACGACAAATGTTGAGCGATAAAGCGCTGGTTAAACTGGTCAGCAGGGGATTCATTAACGAGATCCACCAATTGTTTATTCATGGATTAACAGCGAAGTACTGGCAACACAAAAGGCTTCCTCTGATCATAGAGAGTTATGAGTGGCTTCTTCCTACCGTCAAGAAGGTACACTCTAATCAAATCAACCCATGTTTCATACCTAAATATTCGGCATATAACTCTCCACCCGAAGTTATATTTACGAAATATTCCGAACTAGATTTATCAACACCTTACAAATTCCGGCATGATATTCGAACACGATGGAGTGGATGGGAATATATCTTCACGGATGGTTCGAAGAAAGACAATTTAGCGGGATGTTCATTTTATCACAGCAACAATTCGTATCACCAAGAATTCAAGTTGCCACCTGAATGTTCGGTATACACAGCAGAACTGGTTGCGATCGACCAAGCTATTGAATACTGTTTCCAATTCTATTATTTTTACCGACTGTAGAAGTGCTGTAACAAAATTGGAGAATTGTCACCCCACTGCAGATCTTAATCATCTAATTGCGAACATCATCAAGCGCATTCAGGAGCTGAATAGAATCGACAAAACTATAAATATAGTCTGGATCAAAGGCCACTCAGGTATAAAAGAAAACGAGATGGTAGATAATTTTGCAAAAAGAGCTAGAACTAGAGGCGATTACGTCCCGGGCATGGAGATTCCTTTTACTGACGCTCATTTTCTGATCAGACAACGACTAAAGAATAAATGGAATAACCATTACAAAATCAGTCCAACAGAAAGTTACCTGAAACGTATACAAGAGACTCTTCGAAGCAGACCTTGGTTTCAAGGAATTACCAATCGTCCTTACATTAGAACCGTGAGCAGAACAAGAAGTGGTCATTTCCTAACGCCCCATCATAAATCAAGAATTGGATACGGCGATGATCCACTTTGCAGTTGTGGAAATATAGGAACCTTGCAACACTTAATATTAGAATGTACAAGTTCTAACAACGAAAATTCTGAATTGTATAAAATTTTAGCGAATCACCTTCCTTTGGTATAATTTAGAATCAATTCTCAGTTCTGAGAACCAGCAAGTTTACGAACTTTTATACAAGCATTGTCGGAAAGTAGGCCTAACATTATAAAATGTAAATTACAGTAAGTTTGTTTGACAAAATGAAAAAAAGAAGAAAATATTGAAAAAAAAAACAAAAAAGCAGATCAGTAAAAACAATCTTATAAACAAAATAGAGAAGAAGAAAAAATAAGAAAAAGTATTGGTTAAAAAAAAACAAAAAAAAAACAAAAAAAAAGAGAAATATGTGTTTGCCATACTCTATGTAAGTATAATAGAAATAATATACAATAGTAATATTAAGTAATGGATGTTCTATTTTCTATTAAAGCATAGCATTATACTGAACATAAGGATCTGGCGAGTTGGTCATCGACCAGTGCCAATGTGCCAATAACAGAACAAAAAAAAATACTATGCCAAGGACAAAAATAGCGGTGCCAAGGATAGGTGCTTTTCAAGACCGTTAACACCCTTCACTTTCATTACATACATATACTACTGATTTCTACCTGGTACTTATATCTAGTGTCTGCAGATGAACATACAACCTATGTTGCCATGTCGTCAAGTTTAAAATGAGAGACCCTGCAAATAGTTATATTTACATTTTGCGACAGAGCACGATTTTTGTAATTTCTTAATTTTCACCTAATAATATTTCATAGTTTCATTGTATTTTATTAACCTCTCCTACTTCATGGTTTGTAAATGCAGAGCTTGGATACCTAGTACTGAATGAAATTGAATCGTTATTCTACGAATTGAATGCTCTGAATGTAGAGTGCCGTTATAGACCAGTGAGCCGCTGTGGATCGTCGTCGACCCACTCACTAATTCCGTATGTCGGCTTAAGCTTCCAGTTTGACGGTTGATGACATTTCACATTGAATTCGTACTTTTCTGCGAAAATATTATAACAGCGCGTGGTTTCCATTCAATCCTAGTGTCCCAGACAGTTTCTGAAACTTGAGGAGGTTTTTGTGGATTTGCAAAAAGTAATTTCAACTGAATAACAGCAGATCTTTTTATCGACAAGTGTTATAATTATAATATAGTGATCGGTGTGACGACATGGCATTTACCACGAAATTGGGCTTTTACCTGTACAGTTGTGAGGTATTTTTAATTATTTTCATTTTACTTCTTGGTTCATTGAGCACTCAGTCCCAGCTTAAGATATGTTAACAGAATTGTTTACCTGACAAACAAAACTTTTTGATGAATTCTGAAAAGGGACAAGCAAAACCTTCATCCAACTTAACTCAACTAAAATTTAACTCTATCTACTTTAATTTTGAACATAAAAGTGCTTAGGAAAGGTAGTATAAGTAGCAATTTTACGATCTCATGTTAGTGCCACGAGATTCTTTGGAGGAATCTCGGTACGCCGACAAAACTACGAATATCAAATTAGTTAAGATGCTTCTAAATCGTTTTATTGGAATAAATATAGTGACAATGATATAATAGCAGGAATTTCTATATTTCGCTCAACAAGATTTTCAACCAAGAATCTGCTCAGATCACAACCGTTTAGAAAAACCGAGTAGAATTCTTACTAGATGTCCCACTATTTCTAATATTAAGTATTCCAACAAATGCTACTGGTTGATGGAGATACTGTTTCGTATTGTTCACCTTTCAAAATTACGAATTAAGCAGAATTGTGCATATATATGCCGTTAATAAATATTTACTTTCGTTTCTTTGCCTTATTCAGTTTATTCCTGTTTGTTAACAATACAAATATTATTTCTGCCTTGCACTACGTGAGTACACCCAGTACGGATAGCCACTTGGATATCCTTCCTCGAGAAAAGAATGTACGCTGATGTTTGTCACTTTGGTAAGCGATGTTATTCAAATTAGCTAAAAGTACATATGCACTAAAACTACGCAATTTTGGTGACAAACAATGCAATGTAAACATATCGGCTTGGCTGCTTCCAATTTAATCGAATTCGTTGGATGCACCTATGGACAGTTAAACATACTTCAACTACCAGGTAGTTCGTACCCGATGGTTACAATATTGACACTACCAGGCGAAACATTCTTGTAGGATTTGAAAATCCATCTATTAACTGCAGTTCTAAGGGCAGAAATGAAGATAATAAAAATCACTCAAACTTCGTTTTTTGGCGTTTCAGACAGCAGTTCATTTTTGATTTTTTTGAGTGGTGAAAATTTGGCGATTGGGGTCGCAAGGGGATTTTCATACGGTTGTACAGTGGTCCAAAAAGAAGGTTTCGGTGTATAATTCATTGGGAATTTGTGTAATTAGGCTGGAATATAAACATAATTGGAACCCAAGTTATTAAAAATGTGCCTATAAGGTTCGGTTTTTAAGTGGCAAGTTAAGTAAGCTAAGATGATCGATATTTCGTTTTTCAGGTTCTGGTTGACTAATTACTTCACGTCACTGTCAAGAAAAATAGGTTAGACATTTCGATGTAACTACAACTTTCTATTTTATCAATGCCTGGTTCTCTGGTTAAAGCCAACTACAGTTTAGAACTTGTTATTACGCTGTCAAAATTTTGTTGCCTCCTGATGCCAAGTGTGTTACTCTACGCCATTGTGAATTTGTTGAAAGATTTTCAAGGAGCTTACAATGGTTTGCTGTATCAGTACTGAACAATAATAACCGGACTACCAATTGATAGTCTTGAATAATTGTGCTAAAAATGTGAAGGTAGAAATGAGAAAACACTTTTCACTTCTTACGCCACTGGGCGAGGAAGTATTGTAATCACGAAAAATCATGGTTGTTGGATGTATGACATGTACAAGGTGGCCAACAAAGAACCTATCCATCGTAGAGGCTTGTGGCAAAAACAGTTGTTACTAAAACGGCCACGAGAAAAACAAAAATATTTTTTTGAAATATTATATCAACCTAACAAAAAAAAATACCTGATCTTCAAATTCGAGGATAATTGAACCTTTTTTGTTTGACAATTTTTGCTGTATCTATAAAAATAAGGTGGTGGGGGAATTGAAAGGTTTTCGAAACGAATGAGCCGATTTTAACAAACTTGAGCTAGTTGAAAAGAGCTATTCTTGGGATACAAATGTTATAGTACTTGAAGTTTGCTTAGTTTCATATGTGGTCGCTAGAGGGCTTTTTCCGACATTCCGACAAAAATGGTTAATTTTCTCAAGAAAATAAAATGCATTAGTATTATTTTTTTTATGGAAAATAGCTAAATAATGTGTAAGTAAGCTCGCGAAAACCGTATCACGATATCTTGTTCCTAACCTAAAATTTAGAACAAAGAAAATTTTATACGGAAATCCCTTGAATTTTTATTTTTTTAAACTAATTTTTCTAGAATTTATTTTTATTATTCAGTTGTGTCACTAAATAGGACCGATTTAAAAAAGAAAGCCCCCGTAAATGCTCGAAATGCTGACCATCACGCTCAATGCATTCCTGAAGCCTCTCGTGGATAGACAAAATTGCAACTTCAGTTTCAGCCCTCGGTGTGTTACCTATTGCATTACGAATCCGGTTTTTCATATCTTCTCTGGTTATAGGTTGAGTCTGAAACTCAATGCCCTTTAACCGCCAACATAAATAAAATTCAAGACAAATTAAGTCTGGTGATCGCGAAGGCCATGGAAACAGACTTCCTCTTCCAGTCCACCGCTGTTGAAATACTGCATTAATATTCTCTCGCACAATAATAGCAAAATGTACTGGGCAATTATCCATCTGCAAAAACAAGTTTTGGCGTATTTCCAGAGGCACATCTACCAACAACAACGGTAATTGATTGTTCAAAAAGTCATTGCCATTTAGGGAT